GTGCAAGTGAAATGGTCCAAGCAATGTGTTTTGAATGTTACCACTTCCCTTGAGCCTCCATTACACCCACCTAACCTAAAGGTTAATTCAGACAGAGTGGGACCAACTGGCCATTAGGAGGCAATATTTTCATACATTAGCAGATCATCCTGTCCAGGTCTTGGCTCCAATGAGAATTTCTTGAATTGTCTTGCAGCAAGAGAGAAAAAGAGTTTTACCACAAAAAAACAAACAAAAAAAGAAAACAAACAAACAAACCCAGTTGTTAAAGACAGATGCACGCAAGCATGAAAGGTCATAGATAACTGTTGTGTTTGAGTCATATCAGCATGATTGCTGTAGGAAGTGCAGCTATCACTGTGCTGCATTTGAGGTCATTTTTAAGTCTAATGGTTTGAGCTTGTACCATATAAAGGGATTTTCTTGTGTTTTTTTTAACAACTTAAATATTAGATATTTTGTATAAACAGATGGTGTCACCTTTAAATTATCATTGGACCCATGATGTAACACATGCTATCAATTGTGCTTTTTATTATCTGTGTATCTATTCCGTGAATCAAATACAACTTCTCTTGCCAGAAGGAGACACCTCAGTCTTGAAGGCAAGCCTGGAGCTGACCACAGAGATATGGGGACAGTTGGAATCAAACCACTCTAGCAAGTTATTTTAATTTTAAGAAATACATACAGGCCTTATATTTTATATAGGTGGTACAGTGGAAAGACAAGGCAAATTTGGCAAATGTATCAGTAAAAACTGACATTTGCTTGTGACTTGGAAAATCATTTCTCAGAGTTGCATTATTTTCACAGAAACATAGTGATCACAGCCACCTGATCCTGCTGATTTCACCTCACTTTACTGTGTGTCTTCTCTAGCACTCTGTCCTTGTGCATCTCTATGACGGTGCAGTCAATACAGACTTTAGTGAATGATCCTGCAGACAGCTCTGGTGGTGGATGGCACCCTCACAGGCATTCTGAAGATTTATACACTGTATGTGTGCTGGCAAGAGTTGATAATACAGAGCGGTGCGAGCGAGGATCCATCACTGTCAGCTGCTCTCAGCGACTCTTCTGGAAAGCTGGGTTTTTGAGATTTTGCTTTTACACAAGGGTTACAGATACAAAGGGCCGTAGTGTTTTTGTCCATGAATCCCTAGCTTTGATCAATTCAACTCTATGTGCTGCAAAACATCCAGGACCTGCAGATGTGGAGCAGTGAGCTAATGGCGCCGTGCATGTGAAAGACTACAACGAAGGAACGCTTAATACATTTTTACTTCAAATGTGTTCATGCACAGATTTTTAAGCAGCTGCCATTTTAGATTAGACTTGAATAATACTGCAGTTACACAGATAAAGGTTGAGACTTTCAATGGTGCATTATACAGTTTCCCTTCTCTCACTGACACTGCCAATTAGGGGTTCTCAAACTATGGCGCGAATAACACTGTTGGTACTTTTCACAAGTCACTAAGCAAATCTGGGGAGAATTTTAATGTCAGTACTTTAGGGAGTGGTGTTAAGCGTCCTTTGTGCTGCTACGTTACCTTAAAACTTGGCTGTTGGTAATAATTATTATGATTTTTATTTGTGTCTTTGGTGGTAGCCATCTTTTCTGGCTGCAGCATTTCACACAAAGTCACCTAACTCTCTCAAACACCTGCGTTTTTGTTAAAAACGTAATTATCCATTTAGTAAATGTCAACATTAAAGACACCATCTTAATACCACAATTGTCTGACTTATCAGCTTTCTTCCCCCATGGTGCAGTTCTCTCTTTATTCGGTCAGCAAGCTCCATGACGATAGCACTGCTGTTAACAAAGCATGAGTGGACACCCAGTGGTTTGAGAAGAATGGCTATATTATAATGTGAGCCATAAGCCCAGTGTTCAATAACAATGGAACCTCAATCGAGCATTCAGAGAACTTTTGATGGGGCACCTGAGAACAGAGGCTCCCATCAGACCCTTTGAAATCATTAGACTAATGATGATTGGGACCAAGTCTAAGTTAAGTGACCCATAACATCTAGACAACTGCATTCTGATCTGTCACCAATTTTAATTAAATTTGTTGATGTTAATTCTTCTTTGTATTTAATTTTGTACTTCTATATATAATTATATGAGAACTAAATTATGTTTTACCTGATTGTCTCTAAATGTAGCTTTAAAAGTACACAGATATTTTTGTCTTCTTATTTTTTTCATCCTTCACTGACAGACTGAGAGCCGCACATTCACATCCTCAATGGATGAAATGTCTGATACTGACGCTGCAGCCAAGTCTGCCATTTCTAAACAGACAGATGGAAAAGTATGTCATCATAATGCAGGTCTCTTAGGATATAAAACCAGTCAGTGAATGCATTTGCCAACAGGGAGGAGACGGAGCAGCCGGACAAGGATTAAAATGCTGACTATTCCAGGAAGAGGACACAGTGAATGCAGCATCATTTCACGGTGAAGTCAGGTTCCTGAGCCGGTAAGTTCTGGAACTCTCTATAGGGAAACTGTCACGTTGAATCACACTGACCACAGGGCTGTCCCAGTTCACACACCATGACTCTTGTTTAACCTGAATTGTAGAACTGCTGTTTAATAATAAATGTGAATTATATTAAATTAATAGGACCTTTAACATCATGGTTGCTGTGATAACTTGCCAAAAAGTAAGGTATTACAGAAGTTCAGAGATTCAAATATTAAATATATTCAAATTTTTAAAATCTAATTTATTTTGGCTACATTTAAACCTGGGGTTGGAAAAAAAACGATGTGAGCAAGCAAGACATGCTGACTGGTGGAATGTCATGTCATGTCTCCTTTCCTGAAGGCTTATTGACCAGCTGGAAACAAACTCCAATACAGAATTCAGAAATGCAAACGTGTTTAACTTAAAAAAATATATAAAACCACCAATGAATAAAAACCACCCCGAATGGACAGTATCCAGCCCATGTGCCTTACTTTGTCCACATCTGCCATAAAAGCTAGGGACTGTCTGAAACACAACATCAAATCCCGACCTGTAGGAATAACTACTAGCAGTCCAGCACATATTGATGAATCCATTCAAGCAGAATGTAACTGATATGAATATGAGGTTAAATATGGCACACACAAACACACAGATATAGATCTAAACTCTCTCACAGATATATCTGTACGTTCAACCTGATACTGTCCTCATTTCTGTCCTTCTATTTGTCTCCAGATGAAAATGGCCCGAAGAAGAAGGGCATCCATCTTGTCGAGCCCTTCTCTTACCGTCTGCCAATCTCTCGGCTCCCTGGTGGCAATTTATAACACTGCATGGAGCTGGGATATAATTATAGTCCATTGTCTGATATTTCACCTGCATTACACGCTGCTGCACGGTTCAGAGGCCGTGTTGAGCCTGAGAGAAAGCCATTTCAGCAGATCAATATTTATGATTGTATTATTTGTCAGCATCTGCCGACCATTTCACAAACTGTTATGATGGTCTGAGGTCAGTAGGAGAGAGACTGGGAGAGACAGGGCAGCATCGCTGAAGGACGGCTAGAGGGTGACTGAGGTTCTTCACTAATCCTGAGCCAGATTTTTTTTTTCTGTTGTTTTTCATTATTAATTTGATGGTACTTCCAACAATTAGAGTTTAAATAATGCATATAATTAAATGTATACAACGCACATCAATGCATTGTTGCAGTGACTTTTTGACATTGAATCTTACTCAGGTTACATAAAATCTGGTAACCTGGTTCTCTCCTCTGTGATTGGTCACCTGTTAAATTAGATGAAATGTCATCTGGAGGCTTACTGATTAGCTGGAAACACAAACCAATACAGACTCTACAAATGCAACTTGATGTCTCATATCATCACAAAATAGGTGCGGTCCAGTACATTGTCTCCTCTGAGCCATAATGGGTAAACAAGTAACAGAAAATGGAAATAAGAATGAAAAAAACAAAACAAAACAAAAAACTTTATATATATATAATATATATATATAGAATATATCTAAATATATATAGAGTATATAAAAACTTTAATAATCCTACAATGATTTTTATTTAGTCTTACTCTTACAGTAGATATATACAATTATATACTTTATGCCTAATGTTGAAAAATACAAAAATGCCACTAATGATGAAGAGTGGCTACACAATTATATCTTTTCTATTTAATATATAATGTTTCATCCAAATAGGAGTTGTTTTTTGGGTAGAATAATATCATCTGTCTTTATTATGAGAGAAAACATTTCAGGTAAATCAATAGACTTCTCAATGCTTAAGGACTTAAAAAAACAAAAAACAAAACAACCGTCAGTTTTTGTATTGATTTCTCTCTTTAGAGTCAGTGATTCTTTTCTACAAATTCCACAAAAATCCTTCCAAGAAGGAGCTTGTCAAACTTACCCTTACAACAGCAGCAGCCTGAACAGCTTCTTATTCAGACTGTAATTGCAGAGACAACATATGACAACACTTTCAGATGTGTAGCCCGTGCCTCCATCTTTGTTTCAAGGGAGAACCAACTATCCTTTGTTCTGGTCAAAGACTGCACACAAACGGTTTAATCAACACTACTTTCCTCAACAGTACACACAAATGGTACTGCATTGTCTGGTCCCACACGTTGACATGTGGGAAATAACGTGGCTCCTGTTGATGCTGCACCGCTCGTGCAGAACAGATAAAGATGATGGAGGATTTAGATGATGGTTATCACTCAGAAACACACACACACACACTTGTATGTGGGGTCAAATGTAATTGCACAGAGAAAAATATTCCCTAAGGTTGTAGTTCCTCCAATTTTCAAGGACAAGGACAAAAAAAGAGCCACCAATGTAAATCATACCGTACTTCTCACATTCTGATGATTTAATATATTATGTTAATCCAGGACGTGCTCAGCATCGTGCTGCGTATCAAAGTAGAGTCAACGATTCCATTAAGGTCACTTCAAACAAATCATTAGGAGATAATCTTACCTGCTGAGGCTCTCGAGGCGTCGTCTGCTTCACCCTCCTGCTGGAGGCCGTGGTTGTGGTGATTTCCATGATGGACGTGGATGTCTCCGAGCGGTTGGCCGTGGTGCTCGACTGCGGTGTTATAGAGGAGGGTGACTCACCAACGAGCCGCACGCTGCCCTGGATCTTTATGTTAGGATCCCCCTCAGCAGCCATGTTGAACACCTTCAGGCCGTTATAGTAGAGGCCAGAGAGCTGGCCCTGAAAGGATCGACTCCGGTCTCGCTCCCAGCCTCCAATGTGAATAGTGGTTTGACTGTTGAAGATTGTGAGCTGCCGCCCTGTGAGAAGACAATGTTACATTTAGACAAGAAATAAATTGAACGAGAGGATCTCTACTGAAAGGCAGATTATTTGCCCAATGGGAAATGGGACCAATAAATTAAGGGTTGTGGAGGCAAACCCCAGTAATTTATTGTAATTATGATGAAATGTGTTGAAAAGTAAGAAGAAAAAACATAAATTAACGGCACAGGGTTGAGGGAAATCAATACAGCTTTCTCTGAAATGGCACTCTATCAAGAATTACAGGGACGAACAATCAGCAGTGGAGACATTGTAGATGTTTCGCAGATTAGAAGTATTGTGTGAAATTCTGCACGACCTCAGTAAATCACTGGGATCAATTTTAGTTTTTACTGGCAAACTTGGTTACATGGGCTAGTTTAGTTTAGATATAAATGCCTACAATCCACAGCAAAGAGAAAGTTTCTGGTGGTCGTCTACTACAAAGGTTAACGGGACACACGGTGTAGTTACTTGATTGGGTATCAAAGGAGCATCCAACAAAAGATACATCCTGGCTCTACTTTGTGCTGAATTTAGTTAAGAATTTTCAGCAATTTACATTCATGTGAGTCATGACTAGATAACAGATATCACAACAGAACAGGGTATATTTTCAAAGCCAATTTTGATTTAGTCTCTTGACTCAGGTTTAACCTGGATTACTGACTTAATTATACAATTTAGTCAACAGTGTAAATGATCCAATTTTAAATTAGTTAACGGAATGTTGAAACTTTTAAATGTCTTTTTAAATAAAATTTATGTGAAAACTGTGGGGTTATAACAGGAAACTATAACTAAATTATTATTTATTGAACATTATGATTCATCAATGAATTAGTAAAGACATTAGGAAAAACTCCTTGGTTCTGTTGCAAATAACATTAAAGCAATATTACAATAGACAATGAATGACAGCATGACAAATATGAGCATACAAACAAATAAAAATGAAAAGAAAAATCAGACAAGGAAAACAAATTAAAAAAACAAAACAGGGTTCATTTCACATTTCAGGCAAAAACAATGGATTAGTTTATGAATTCATTTAAACAAACATGCACTTTATTTTTTTTTTAATGTTACAATGCCTAATGCCCTGTTCTATTTTTTTAAACAAGTTTGTTAAAGGGACTCAAACTTCTTATGTCAAATCATGTTTTTTGTGTTTTAATTTATCTTACATTTTAATTTAGGGTGAATCAAATGACTGTGATGTACAGTATGTGCAGAGGAAAGGCTTCAGACCAGTTCAAATAAGATTAGCAGCTAATGGAAGGCTGAATGGTTACGTTTAAATTTATCATTTAGAAGTTTACAAAATTCTAATTTATAGACATTTTTACAATGTGGTTATTATGTGGGTAAGTGGATTCATATTTACAGTCCCTTTAACCTTATGTTGACAATAAACACCTATTAAAACATCTGACATCTATACAATAAATGCATTATTATGAAAAATGTGATACATTACAAATTAAATTTTACTGTTCAAATTATTTTATTTTACAAAGTTTTACAGAACATTTATTTTTTTTTAAGGTTCACTATTTACAAAATACTGCTACAACTTGGTTATAATCAGATTATTTTTATTTAAAATTTTAATCAGTGATTTTTACCTTTGTCGAGTAGCCATTCGTCAACTACTCGACCAAGTCGGTATGGGATTCGCTGTCTAGCAATCGCCAGGCGTTCGTTATCATTGTTGCCTTTAAAGTTTAAAGAGACATTTCATTGGTTACAATCTGTAAGGTCAAAGGTTAAAGGTTCATACTTAATGCTGGAGCAAAAAAGATTTTATATTTATCCAAGTTTTATAGCTTTAAAAGAACAATATTTACCGTCAAACATTTATTAAACAAACTTTCACTCTTTTTATTTTATTTTTTTATCCAATAAATTAGACCTATATTAATTAAAAATAGGTAAACTAAGTTAAAAGGACTATGTTATAAACCAACCCATATCACATATTTATACATTACAATTACAGACTCTTTACACTCCTTAACTACTGCCAGCCCATTTATCTTTACCCTCTGTAGCTTTTAACTGACGTTTAAACTAGTTATGTACATTTTCCAAAAAAGAGAACATCATTTAAATTTATTGCTAAATTTAACCTTTTGTGGTTTAAAGGATAAAACAAGTAAACTTTAACTTATTACAAAGACCCACCCCATTTAAAAGCAGCTCAAATGACAATCATAATAACAATTGCAATGACACAGTAAACATGTAGCGCATAATCCATCAGTACAGTCACCGTGGACACGGTTTTGACAAAAGCTACGGCTCATACGGAATCTGTTCTTCAATATTGGAGGTGACAACGTGGAAGGTGATTCCTCGGAAGTACCGCGATAATGAACTAAATAAGCTAGTGATAGAGCGGCTGCAGAAACACTCCACTCCTGGACTGAAGGGGCACTTTGCCAGTAATGAGGGCAAAACTCTGCATCCCCCTTTTGTCAAGGCCAATAACCTCTCCAGACTGGAGGACTTTCAGCAAAGTAGCACAGTCTCCGAGTGCTTTTTCCCTTCGTATTGTCTGCCAAGATTGAATTCAGTCGGCCCCATTCTTCCGGCAGATTGACAATGTTTGTCCCATCAACTATATTAATTCAGTTGTGGCAGATAAAAGATCAGGTAGACAACAATTTGGCAGAGAATGGCCTCCGAGAGGAGAAGAATGCAGAGAAAAAAAGAAGAGCTGAGCTCGTAAGAGAAGAACCGTTGGTTTGATGAAAGGACTCGGGAATGGGACAGAGCATAAAAATGGGAATTTTAAAATGGCATCATCTTGAATTACAGCAGAGGATTGGATACAAAGAGGACGCTTTAAAGCCTGTCTGTAGAGCTTATGGAATTTGACTGCGGTTGATTGTGTTGGGTTTGAGCACAAAGACTTGTGAAGGAGGTTTCAGGGGATCATTCACACAGGCAGATCAATTCTGACTTACAACAACGTAACAAAGGGAAACAGAAGATATTATTTGATAAGAATCTCCAAATGTTATTTAGGGACCTGAACTTCTTAAACAATGTTCCCTCCAAGTAACATTCGCCTTCAGGTTTATTTCAGGGATGGAAAAATAATTAGAAAGGTAATTAAATGTAATTAATTAAAATACAGTAACAGATTAACATTGCTGTTATTTAGCCTAACTATGCAGATAAAGCGTGACTTCTACATCTGCACTAACATGAGCCTAAACGAGGCTGTCATGCATAAAGGTCAGCGTCACCATTTCGTTCTGTTCTTTCAGACGTACAATAATATGACGCAAGTTTCTATGAAACGCTTTTCAAGAACAAGACGCTGATGGAAAAAAAACAGCAGACTTAAGTAGAAAGAGGCTTCTGGACACCTGGCTAAAGAGCTGAGGCTGCAGTGTCCTGCTGCCTGTTTCCATATTACGCCTTTATTTTGTGTCTTCTGCCAGGATTTAACCCAGTATGATCTCTGTAAACCAACCAACGTCACTCTGAATCTGCCTGTGTTTGAATTATCATTCAATATGCATAAAAACACGCCACTAAACTGTCAACACGTATTTGGTTGAGTCATTGAAGAGTGAGAAAATAAAACTTGAAATCAAACCTCAACTGTATGCGGCACAGTTAACGTGCGTCTTTTTTATACAATGTTGATTTTTTTTGAGTGAATGGTTATTTGGACACAATTGCACTATTGATTAGAAGTAGGTGAAGGCACAGCTTTGCTGTGATTAATAACCACCCTCCCACTCTGCTATTAGTAAATGTTGTCAACCCACTGATGTCACTACTTTCATCAATGATGCTGCACATCATGGTTTCATGTCATGGTTTCCTGGATGGTTTTTCCATCCAGGAAATATCTGAACCCAAATCCTCGTAACCTCAGACTAAAGAATATCTATGAATATCACAATAAGATTAACTGATAAACACAATTATACACATTTAAATCCTCTAGGATCTAATCCTCACCAGGGTCACCTTGGGGAGCTGGAGTCAAAGCCTACAGTACAGTCATTGGACAAAAACAGGGTAGGTGGTAGGACTGCTGTCAAATTAGAGGCAGTGGACAAACACATAGTTCACCCTTAGGTCAATGCTGAATTTTATGTACAACTAGCCTATCCAATAAAGATCTAATAACACCACAAATCAATGTTTTTTTATTTCCTGCTAATCTCTATCTTACTAACCAGACTGAGTTACAAGACCACAAAACAACTCATGAAGATTTATTTAATCCTCCTGAAGCTGACTTTATCAAGAGTCACTCTGAACTAAATGTTGTATTAATTGTCACCTATTCTTCACTTACTGTACTGAACACAAATGCTAGTACGATTGCTGAGAAATAAATACTATTCTAGCCTTATGAAATCAATGGTAATCTTGTCCTGTGGTGTTGTTTATCATTTGAATTTTATATCTATTGAATTGTATATAATTTGAATTCTAAAAAATCTATAATAAAACCTTTAAAAAAATCTTTTTAGATACAGGTAAGACTGCATCTGTGTTATATATGTTATCTATATCCCCAATTTAATAATAATAATCCACTGATAGCTTCTGTGGTAGAAACATCCTGAATCTCAATCACCTACAGTTTTCAGTCATGAGGTGAGTTTTTTTTTATGTCAACCTTCTAGGAATTTTAGGTCTGTGTGTTTGTGAATCACTGAATCTAAAATAAAAGAATTTGCATTTCACCCAATCTTCGTGCACACACTTATCTTCACAGCAGGTGCATGACTGTGCTAAATGTCTATACACAGTGTTGCTTTATCTGTATATATTTGTCAAGGCCAATAACCTCTCCAGACTGGAGGACTTTCAGCAAAGTAGCACAGTCTCCGAGTGCTTTTTCCCTTCGTATTGTCTGCCAAGATTGAATTCAGTCGGCCCCATTCTTCCGGCAGATTGACAATGTTTGTCCCATCAACTATATTAATTCAGTTGTGGCAGATAAAAGATCAGGTAGACAACAATTTGGCAGAGAATGGCCTCCGAGAGGAGAAGAATGCAGAGAAAAAAAGAAGAGCTGAGCTCGTAAGAGAAGAACCGTTGGTTTGATGAAAGGACTCGGGAATGGGACAGAGCATAAAAATGGGAATTTTAAAATGGCATCATCTTGAATTACAGCAGAGGATTGGATACAAAGAGGACGCTTTAAAGCCTGTCTGTAGAGCTTATGGAATTTGACTGCGGTTGATTGTGTTGGGTTTGAGCACAAAGACTTGTGAAGGAGGTTTCAGGGGATCATTCACACAGGCAGATCAATTCTGACTTACAACAACGTAACAAAGGGAAACAGAAGATATTATTTGATAAGAATCTCCAAATGTTATTTAGGGACCTGAACTTCTTAAACAATGTTCCCTCCAAGTAACATTCGCCTTCAGGTTTATTTCAGGGATGGAAAAATAATTAGAAAGGTAATTAAATGTAATTAATTAAAATACAGTAACAGATTAACATTGCTGTTATTTAGCCTAACTATGCAGATAAAGCGTGACTTCTACATCTGCACTAACATGAGCCTAAACGAGGCTGTCATGCATAAAGGTCAGCGTCACCATTTCGTTCTGTTCTTTCAGACGTACAATAATATGACGCAAGTTTCTATGAAACGCTTTTCAAGAACAAGACGCTGATGGAAAAAAAACAGCAGACTTAAGTAGAAAGAGGCTTCTGGACACCTGGCTAAAGAGCTGAGGCTGCAGTGTCCTGCTGCCTGTTTCCATATTACGCCTTTATTTTGTGTCTTCTGCCAGGATTTAACCCAGTATGATCTCTGTAAACCAACCAACGTCACTCTGAATCTGCCTGTGTTTGAATTATCATTCAATATGCATAAAAACACGCCACTAAACTGTCAACACGTATTTGGTTGAGTCATTGAAGAGTGAGAAAATAAAACTTGAAATCAAACCTCAACTGTATGCGGCACAGTTAACGTGCGTCTTTTTTATACAATGTTGATTTTTTTTGAGTGAATGGTTATTTGGACACAATTGCACTATTGATTAGAAGTAGGTGAAGGCACAGCTTTGCTGTGATTAATAACCACCCTCCCACTCTGCTATTAGTAAATGTTGTCAACCCACTGATGTCACTACTTTCATCAATGATGCTGCACATCATGGTTTCATGTCATGGTTTCCTGGATGGTTTTTCCATCCAGGAAATATCTGAACCCAAATCCTCGTAACCTCAGACTAAAGAATATCTATGAATATCACAATAAGATTAACTGATAAACACAATTATACACATTTAAATCCTCTAGGATCTAATCCTCACCAGGGTCACCTTGGGGAGCTGGAGTCAAAGCCTACAGTACAGTCATTGGACAAAAACAGGGTAGGTGGTAGGACTGCTGTCAAATTAGAGGCAGTGGACAAACACATAGTTCACCCTTAGGTCAATGCTGAATTTTATGTACAACTAGCCTATCCAATAAAGATCTAATAACACCACAAATCAATGTTTTTTTATTTCCTGCTAATCTCTATCTTACTAACCAGACTGAGTTACAAGACCACAAAACAACTCATGAAGATTTATTTAATCCTCCTGAAGCTGACTTTATCAAGAGTCACTCTGAACTAAATGTTGTATTAATTGTCACCTATTCTTCACTTACTGTACTGAACACAAATGCTAGTACGATTGCTGAGAAATAAATACTATTCTAGCCTTATGAAATCAATGGTAATCTTGTCCTGTGGTGTTGTTTATCATTTGAATTTTATATCTATTGAATTGTATATAATTTGAATTCTAAAAAATCTATAATAAAACCTTTAAAAAAATCTTTTTAGATACAGGTAAGACTGCATCTGTGTTATATATGTTATCTATATCCCCAATTTAATAATAATAATCCACTGATAGCTTCTGTGGTAGAAACATCCTGAATCTCAATCACCTACAGTTTTCAGTCATGAGGTGAGTTTTTTTTTATGTCAACCTTCTAGGAATTTTAGGTCTGTGTGTTTGTGAATCACTGAATCTAAAATAAAAGAATTTGCATTTCACCCAATCTTCGTGCACACACTTATCTTCACAGCAGGTGCATGACTGTGCTAAATGTCTATACACAGTGTTGCTTTATCTGTATATATAAACTAAGGCTGTGTCTGTACTGAGGTTAATTAAGTGTGGATATAATCATGTCTGATCATGTATCGATCCCCACTGTGGGACACCATAGTGTCAAACAATGCTATTCCCTGGACTTGGATGATGCTGCAGCAGCAGCAGCAGAGCCCATTTATCGCGCCCGTGATTGTTGCCTGTGACTGCTGCCGAGCACCGATTTGGTTCAGTTTGGGACCGCATGGCTTATCTGGTCTGCCAGACAGCACTGATTCAGCTGACCCCCTCCCTTCCCCCCAGCTGTGCCTTCACTTGTTTGTGTTCTTTTTTTGTTAATAAAGTGGTCAGACAAGGTGCAGCCCTGTCTCATTACGAGTCCCCAAAACAATCCCACATCAATAAACAAATATTCAAATAATTCACATGTTCTCTGAGACAGGAGAGTTAAACAGAGGAACCTGCGTGAATCTCACTATCATTCTTCGCTGTTCGGCTCCATTTTTTTAGGCCGGGAGTAGCAGTCCCTGTATTATTCTTTGGCACAATGAGCCAAATAAGCTCATGGACAAAACAGGGAGAAAAACAAGATGTGGAATGGGACTTTGGTGGATAGAACTAACTCCTATGTCCCACACATAAGACTCTAAAAGCAAGGTGAGAAAATAGGACAGAGGCTGAGACTGACAGAAGGGGCAGGGTCGGACAGACAGAGGTAAAAAGGACAGAAAAATAGGGGAGTGAGAGAAGGGGGGAGTGGAGTGAGCGACTGAAAGCCCGGTAAGTGCATCACGCTCTGATAACGGTAAAAGAATACGTCCGGGGACCTCTACATTATCTTTGTGTGCGGCGTGTGTTCATTGGGTGTTCTGATAGGACACAGCACTGTACCCTGCGGACCTGGCTGCACCATTGTGATGGTATTACTTCCACGGCCAAGACTCTGGAGAAGAGGCTCATTTTTTTTCTTTTTTTTTTATTGCTGCCCAGTCTTTTGTGTGCCGGGCAGAATGAAAGTGGGACTGAAGATACAGGGGTGAAAAAGAGAAAAAAAAAAAAAAACTGCAGCAAAGAGACATTGGCCGTGTAACTGGGCATGCTGCATTTCAGATTCTAATAATTGCGCTAAAGACTTTTAATGACCCATAAGTATGTGGTACGGGACTTTTTAATGAGATTACAAGGGCAGCAATGTAGGCCCCGCTGAGGCAATTATTCTTTTACTCTCAGTGTGATTGCCCCCACCCAATATAATCTCCTCCTCCTCCTCTGTCTTCCTCACTCTCTAGGCATCAGTTTTATCTTTGGTGTTGCCACTACTGTAATCATTGTTGATCTGTGAGTGGCCTATGAGGTCTGCCATTATGGTTGTGTTAGAGGCATATATGGATACTAATCAAGCTACAGGCAAGCTGAGAGAATAATGGCCCTGTGAGCTTGGCTGAGGGGAGGAAGTGTACAGTGATTGAGATAAGATGTAATTAGTCTGCACTGAGCGTAATAAGGTGGACTTGGCATTGTCCCTGTCACATGATGAGTGGGGGAGAATTGCCCTTAGCAGTAAGAAGTCAGCAGTTACGCTGAGAAATGTTCCATTTATGTTGGACCTCCTGTCCTAGTACTGGTAGAAATATTTTAAATACAATGCACACAAAGAGCCAATTATAAGTCAACACATGTGTTTAACATATTAAATACAGCATGTAAATACAAATCTGAGTGATTCATATAATTTGCCTACTGGAGGCTGGGTGTTCTCTGAATATTGAGACGTCATCAGCGAAGCAGTGGAGTGCACTGAGCATCTTGTCATGTCCACAGAATGTCAAAACCCATTAGTATCGCTACTCCACCTCCGCCAACACCAACCACCTGAGGCAAACAACGAGGATTGGGCGACTGTCATAACATTCATCTTTTTATTAACGACTCGATTGTGCCTTGCTGAAAAGGTCAAATGGTCAAAAGACACCTTGATATCTTCGTAGCTTTTGTCAAAACCTTAAAGCTGTTAAAAAGAAAGAGTGGATCATTAGAAAAACGAAACAAAAACACACCAGCTGTGGCATTTGAACTTCTCTGGGGAGGTGTCACACCTCCAACATATGAACAGTCTACAGGAACTCATCAGTCAGTACATTTACATGAGAGATTATTCTGTCCTACAGGGAGTTTTGTCTGACGTCCAATTTCTCAAAGTCAGGGCTGCACACAAATATTTTTGGGAGTCAAATGATTTCACTATTTATAGGAGATCATGTGAGTAGAGCAGAGCGGGCAGATTTTAGACAAAACTAAGGCCTTTCATTATAATGGAGCGGTTCTTGCCTTTGTCCTGCTCCAGTTTCCACTCTTAGCAAACGCTCAGCAGAATGGCCAGCCTCAACTTTGAGGAAGGGAGGTGAAGGGCTCTGTGTACAGATCCTGGTATATGTTATAATCTAAATAAAGAATTTCATTTAATTTCTGTGCTTGAATGCTTTCGGACAAATGCCCAAATTAACAGAACAAATTTACCACAATTGGACTTTAACGTCATGTTCATGTAAATGTACTGAAGTGTTGCCGAGTTGTTTTTCATCTCTCATAATGATTTCTAAACATGTAACAAGTCATTTAATACAAATTTCCCTGCACTGTCACATATATTAACTCCATCAATCTACTGCATTGGAAAACACATAAACACTGATCTGACACAATTTCTTGTTGTACACTGACATAAATGTGCACAAGGCAGGAGCTGCAGTTTAATTGAAAATATTTGTTATTTTAAATGAAACTTATTCCTATAAAGCTCAGGTTGTTCGACAGAATTACTGTAATTAACCCTAAGTGATAAACATTCGAGATGACAAAATGACTCGACAACACTGGTGTTGTTCCAAAACAGCTGCTGGAAACAAGAACATAAAAAGCAATTAAAGCTCATGCCAAGTCAACATAAAACATCCTGAAGGCCAGCAGCTTTAATAGTTGGCTCCATACTTGATCCTGACCATTTTTATCACCCTGAAGCAGCAGTAGTTGTAATTAAAAGGCAGGGTGGGTGACTCACCTGTGGGGTAGCGCTCAATGACTGGCAGGTCATCCACCTGCAGAGTGGCATTACCCCCACTCCGCGTAAACTTCACTATATGGTACTTCCCATCATTTACAAACTTTGCCGTCTCCTCAATATTAATGTCATCAGTTCCCACATTAAACACAACAGCAATGTTTCCTTTGTCCTGCGAAGACAAAAGCACAGAAGAAAAACATCAGTGATGTTAAAAATCAGACTCACTTGGTCGATTTTCTTTGTTTGTATTTTCTTATTTCTACATTTTTTGAAGCTGAAAAAAAAAACTTAATGAAAGAAATCGTGGCTACAGCTCTTGTCCTGGAGCCCGTTTTAAACATGCTCTATTAGTAGCACAGGCCCTCGGGGAAACTTAGTGCAACTTGTATTGATGTTTATAATTAAATAATAATAATAAAAACAACAGTTGAAGATATATGGGCTGCTTTAGTCAGAAGAAAACAGCAACGTCTTAAAAATATGTAATAAAAACCAGGACATTCGGAAAATAAACGTATTTTTGAGCAAAAACGACACCTAATAGTTTGTCATATAACTACTGAACATTGACTACAAAGTTCTGTTCTCAATTCAAAACTATACCACACCACAGTCAGCCGCCTCTGTGATGTTTCTGAAAATAAAGTAAAAATGAGTGTCTAATTTACATGGAAATGGTGTTGATTAGTTCGTAAAATTAATCAGATAAAAAGTGTTTCGAGTACTAACACAGTAGCAGGAAAATGTTATAGCTACAATTTACCAAATCTATTAAGCATATTTTTATTAATGAAAACAGCTGTGACACAAGTACATTCTCCAGTTGTTATAGGAATTGCAATTAATCACAATCGATTATGATAACGAATAATCATGAATATTCGTGATGCATTTAGAACTACATTATGATTAATTGGATCCCCCAGTACGGAGAATTGTCTTCAACTTAGCTAAATTGCACCTGTGTTTTGCTTATTAAGTTTTGAACCATTCATTCCACCTATGACTTCATGCTACGACTCCTGTTCAGCCAACGCCTGGTTGTATTTTAAAGAGCCACTTCAAAGCCTGCTTAGTGGAGGCTCATTGAATCTGAGGCAAATGAAGCAATTTGTGCGAGACTGAATCTTCAAATTGCGGCGCGGTCTGTGGACATTTCATTACGACATAAATGGGAACATAAGGAGAGGCTCAAAGGAAGTTTAGATGGTTTTCTATCCGTTTAGATCCACATGTGATGCATATCTGCTCTAATAAGCTCCTTTCTACGGTACAAGATTGAAGTCCCTAAATCCTGCAGCCTAATCCTGCTAAAATGAGCACACGGGTAGGTGCTCTTCTGCTCGTTCTCCCTGTAACTCTCTCTCTCTCTCCCTCCCTCTCTCTCTCTCCGTCTGTCTCTCTCACTCTCTCTCTATTTAAGCTGCAGCGAGAGAAGCATCTGGTTGGGGGCTCAACCTACTGTGGCAGCAGAACACTCTGAATGTCATTATCCAGTCAGCACATCTCCTGGTACACTGCATCTCCATCTCCATCTCTCTTTAACTTTACCACATGCACAAAATGACTCTTCAAAGCTTCCTACAGTACTACATATCACACATAGATAGAAAGAGAGAACGAGAGAGGGAGCAGAGAGAGAGAGAGAGAGAGAGAGAGAGAGATAGAATGTTGTTCCCTTTTACTGCAGACTGCGTTAAGCTTTGGAGCCAGAAGCTAAAGTGCAATTAAAACCATTTGTAAAGTGTCACACCATGTTACCAAAACTGGGACAACTGTATGGCTTGTAATCTCATTTGAACACATTATAAAAAGTGATGTATTAAAGCGCAAACACAATTTACTGACAGCTGCGGGGCAGAAACACTAAAGGAACCAAAACAACAACAACAACAATTGAAGCAGACGGTGGAAGTGTCAGGTCTGCAGATATGAATGGTTGAAGGAGGATCACTACTGGGTTGTGCTGTAGTAAAAAAAAGTGTTTAAAACAGCAGTGGTACAGTTGAGAAAGATGGTACATGTGAAACTCTGTGTCAAGGACTGTCAGACAACAAGCACATCAACTCAGAACTTTTTAGTAACGGCAAGAGAGAGAGAGGGTGAGAGAGAGAGAGCGAGGAGAGAGATGAAAAAGAGGTTTAGTGGAGAGACCAACCTAATTAAAATCCTGCTTTTAATAGCCTCCTTCAATTGACTTTAATGCTCCCCACGGTCTCGTTAATAAATTTACTGCATTTAGTCACAAACTGCCAACTCAAATTTCCATAGCATAAGGAAACCTGCTCTTCAGAGAGATGAGGAGAAAGATGAAAGTGAATCACACACAAAGGACTCAAAACTGAAGTATCAGATTTAAGGAGAGTAAGATTTTAGATAAGAGCAGAAGCCTGAAGCGCTCGAATGCGATCTTTAGGTACGGAATGCTTCGACTCGGATTCTCTGAAGTAGATCAAAGTAATTTGGTTTTCCCATCTTCGTTTTACATAAAAATATGCATAGATAAAAATGCCACAACTAAAACCATTTTAAAATTCAATTTTAAAATTCAATAAATGAATGAGACAAAACTACGTTTATCAAACAGGCCTGCAGTCCAGATTTGTTGTTTAATACATCTTTTTTTTTATTAAAACAGTTTTTTTTTTACTTATTTCTTGTTAAAAATATTTAAACATGTGACCAACTGACTAATCAATTACTCAGAATGTTCCAGAAATAGAACTGCCACGTGATCGGGTTTACGCTGTTTTATAAATAATAACTTGGCGAATTTCAACATTTCTCATAAATTTCTTTTCTGCATTTCAGTAATGAGTTGAGTTGCTAATCCCAACATTTTAACAGGGAGCGCAGCTTACATGTATTTCACAGAGTGATTGATAGCTGCTTACCCAAAGCCAGCCTATTAGACCTAGCACAATTTTAGAGCAGCTCACTGGGTGAGAGCTGCTCCCAACAGGACTGCCCTCCCGGTGGCAGACTGTATGGAGCTCACGCAAACCACAGACGGCGAACTCAGTCCTGCCTGACACTCTGCAGGCTGCCTTGATTAATTGCTCATCAAGCTGCAAAAGAGTTTTAATTAACTGATGAAGTTGATCCACCATTCTCCTCTAATCGGCTCTCCTTTGTGCTCCTCATCACTGCAGCTGCAGCACAGCTCAGGGTGTCACTTTCTTTCCTTAAAACTTTCCATCTCCAGTGATTATACAGTACAGCCAGAGAGATGCAGTTTTTTTTCAACTTGCTAATCAGATACAAAACAGCCTCTGCAGAATGATGCTCTTTTTCCTGACATTTAAAAGCAGCGACACTGAAAATGGATGAGCCTTATTTTTATTTTTATCCAATTATCTTCCTAAAAATAGTGGGTAACTCTCTGCAACACACTTTATTTTAACTCGCCCAAGCAACTGTTTCTTTAATAATACATTTATTAATATATATCAAACTTTTGTTTGCATAATTGTTTGTGTAAAACAACAATTTATGTTGCTTATAATCCGCTCGAGGGTCAGGGCGACCGAGTGCAACACAGTGACAACAACAACAACTCCAAATGATCCACGCGTTCCCTGAAGCGAGCCCATCTCTGCCGCCCACGTAAGTACAACGAAGAATAAAAAGGAAGTGAGTGAGAATTGGCATTGGAGACTTTTTTTTTAAAAAACCTTTTTAAGCCTCTGTGTGTAGTTGTAGTTGGTCTCCGCTTGATCATGAGTCATTTATCCTGACAACCACTATGCACCCGTCACATTTCATCTCCCCAGTTTAATGCAACACATCAAATTTGAGTGCACATGCCTGAATGGAAGGTGGAGGAAGGTGTATGTATGAGGTGGGAGGGCACGGTGTCTGTGTGTTGTACTATCAATGTAGAAGCTCAGTGTAGCCGGAGCAACGCAGACTGTGCTGTTGTCCTTATCTTTTAATTACTCCCGACACTCTGAAGCTCTTATCTTTCATAAAGAACACTTGGTTAATGAATTTAAAACTGTAACAGAATATTCATGAAAGGAAAGAAAAGGGCGTTTCAACCTTACGACATTTGTTAAAACATGTTCTAAACTAATTGAACGGCCTTTAAATTTGGTACAGAAAAGTACTGGTACATGATAGGTGATTGTTAAATTCAGTTTAAAGTAGTGGTTCCCAAAGTGGGAATATATGAGAAATATATTTGGAAATTGCACTAATTTATCATTTTTAGTTTATATGTTCAGTGAGGGTTGCAGGTTTATAGGAATTACAGTTAGCTGTAAAGGTGTTGATGTGGGGGAGGGGCTTGTAAAAGGGTTTGCTACAACAGTTGGGGCCAGAGGGTGTTTGGGGACCACTGGTTTAAAACACATGAGATTCAAGACCAGTGATTATTTTTGCACAAAAATTAATTTCAGCACCACACTATTAAACTCTGAGCATCCTACATATAATACAGACCCTTGCATATAATACAGATATACTATACAGTACTAGTACTAGTACTAGTACTACTACTACTGTTAGTAGTAGTATATTCCACATATACAGTAGTATATACAGTACATGTATCAGAGTACATTATATTATATGAGACTGTTACTATTTTCTGCAGCTTCTCCGACCTGTACATTACATACACTGTACACAACGTTGATGAACATCTGAGTAATACTCTCACATCTTGGCACTGACATTCAAATTCCCATGGTAACACTGTCAGCAACTGCTGGTCTCAGCATATCGCTCTTTACACACACAGGTGGGCAATAAAGCCTGAAGCTGAGGGTGCAGGGCGTCAGCAGAGCAGGAGGAAAACTCATTTGCATGGGTGGGAAATATTTCACAATTTATTCATTTGTACAATTTTTAAAGCAATCTGTAAACTGTCGCCTAACATATGTGGTTATTTAAAGCAGTGATTCCCAAAGGATTTTTGCAGATCCCACTTGTGTGGAAGGGACTATTGTGAAGCCCACACAGAAACTGAACGTTGTGTAAAAACAGTGAAATTCCTACAAAATCTAATTTTCAAATCGATGGCATTCTATCACTGTAGGACAAATAAAGACTATACTGAGATTTAAAGGTATTGACTTGCTGCGTCACACCTGCAATAGCTGTTTGGTCCATGAGAGGAGCCTGCCCCCCACTTTGAGAACTACTGCTTAAAGATAATACATGTTA